ATTATGCTGGTTGTTTATGTGCAAGTACTACATTATCTAGAAAGTTTATAGCTACACCCACAATTAACCATCTCATTGTCAGTGTAATTCATGCACGCCTATTGTATTATATCAGTTCAAAACTATCATGAAAGTACATTTTATTTGCCAACACAAATTTATACTGTGGATGTGTATAGGTATAGGTGCTGCAGGAAAGTGATGGCCAGAACCTCAATGACAAGCTACTGGACCAGAGTGTTAGCCACGGTGTTAGTGAGGTGAGAGGGAGAGGGTTCCAGTGGTAGAGATTTGAGGTCCATGTAGCCAGCCAGCTCCTCCAGTCGTCTTGAGATGTCTCCACTCAGTGCCACAAATTTAGGTCTCAGGTTAGGGTCCTCTCTCCAACACTTCATCATTACACTGTTGTACCTGCAGCAACAATAGATTCATTTCGGCAGTGAACAAAATATGTACACTAGCAGAACGTAAACAGTTCAGAATGATTCAGTAAAAGTTTAGATAGCCTACAACTATGATAATATGCTGCAGAAAAACTGGCTGCATGTCATAGCATGATCCAAAGCAGCTTATGTGGGCTTTCCCTCCGTTTGAGTAGCCACTGGACTTGTACAGAGAGATTTTAGTATGTGTACTACCCAACCTCTTGCAGGTGGTTTGATTGAGCTGACTGGACATCAACTAGAATGTAGTGTACTTACACATCAGTAGAGCAGGCTGCGTTGGAAGGTTTCTCCAGTCTGTCTCCTCTCTCCAGGTACTTTATGAGAGTGAAGGGGTCGACCCCAGGATAAGGGGATTTCCCCAGGGAAATTACCTCCCAGCACGTTACACCAAAAGACCACTGCACAAGGAAGAATTGTTCAGTTCAAACATAATTGGTCATACACAGATAGAAATTGTAAAACGTGTGATGTTGCATAAGTTACCACATCAGTTTTCTCTGAGAATATGCCGTCGTTCAAACTTTCAAGCGCCATCCACTTGACAGGCAATTTCACGGGAGTCTCCCCTTCCTCGGCTCCCCTCCCCTGTCTGAAGTAGTTCCTGGCATAGATGTCCTCTGATAGACCAAAGTCAGCCACCTTGATCACAAAACTCTCATCAATCCTACATCACAGACAGGTTGAGAAGTGTCGTAAAAGAATGTTGAAGGAACGGAATAAAGCCATCCGACATAGATGTAGGATCCATACAAATTGGTTTTTGTTCGCAAGTGAGGTAAAGTATTGTGAACATAAAAGCCAGTGTGCTGTTTTACAAACCGCATAAAGGTGCATATATAGCTACATGTGCGGTGTGCTGCAGGTAGCTTACATGCAGTTCCTAGCTGCCAGGTCTCGATGAACAAACTTCTGACTGACCAGGTACTCCATTCCCTTAGCAATCTGGAGACACATCGACAGCAACTTTCTACCAGTGGACTGCACCTAAAAGATCAATATGCCAGGCACAATGATTATAAACTAATTGCCAATGCTTACGTAGCTGTAACTGTATTTGTTGACATGCTTGCGGAAAAACACAAACACTTAAATTGTTTTTTTTAGTGGAACTCTCACTCCTTACATCAAGCATGGAGATGAAAATACTAAGTTGCTCAGTGCCTAGTGGAATAATATGTACACTGGTTTGAGTCCCGTGCCTGAGCTTAACTTTTCTGCAGGAGCTGGTATGTCCACATTTACTGCCCGATAAACATTACGCCACTTCTAAACATTTTAGGCAACCCTGCACCCTTCAACAAAAGAAAAGGTTGACAGTCTGTAATCCTCCCCAAAAATATTATATAATTATAACTATCCATGAAATTAACACTTCAATAATCTTCTCTTTAGAAAAGATAAGAGGTGATCCTCTGTTCTTCCATCTCACCAGGTCATCGTCCTCCTCACTGTCAAGTGTAAGCTCGGTTCTGTGGTTCCTCAGGTAAGAGAGGAGACTCCCGTGGGTCATGAAGGGCATCACTATGTAGAGAGTGTTGTTGTTCTCAATGGAGACTCCGATGAGCTTCATGACGTTGCGGTGGTCAAACCGAGACATCAGGAGACTCTCCTCCACCAGAGCATCAACTCACTCCGACTGAGAGAACCTAAAGTTTTTATACAAATCTTGTTACTTACAGGGAAAAAGTGGGCATTGAGCTGTACATTGTACCCAGTTGAATATAGAGTGTAAGACATGTCTCACCCCCCTTGATAGCCTTGATAGCCCCATTTCACAAAAGAAAACAGCATAAGGAAAGACAGCATTGCAACAAGTAATGAGAAACATATTTTCACAATTAATTGAAACGTCAACACTCAAACCTTTTAGTGTCTTAACAGCCACCATCTCTCCAGTTTTCCCTTTCCACCCACAAAGGAAAGCACGACATACGACCCCAAACTCTCCTATATATTAGTAAAGAACAAGAGTAGTGACAATAATCCAAACTATATATAATATATTGCATTCAAACCAATACACTTTTGACTCTTTTGGGCGAAATGTGTTTCTTTCATGACTAAAATGGCAGATTTGCAGGCAGGGAAACACAACTGACAATATATACAACGATTCAAAGGCAAAACATATTTTGCACAAACAAGCAGTTTTCTTTGAAGTAAGTAAATCATTCTCTATGCCAGCACCCATCCTCTCATAAGCTCTGTGTAAGGAGTATATAGGCTAAGAAATATCGTTAACCTTGGCCAATGGTCCCCATCATCTGAACGTTACTGCCAGGAATGAGAAGTTGGTCATCGGCCATTTGCCTGACATATGCTGAGGCAACTCTTGGCTTAGCACCATGGAGTATATCTGCTGATATACCTATGGTAATAATAATAACCATTTTGGAATGCTAAGTATGACACCTAATGTAATTGTGTAATAAAACCCCAAGTAAAGTTATCAAAGCAGAAAGTGACTATAGTGAGCTCACTGTGCTCAATGTAGCGGTGGACTGTAGTGTCCCTACCCATCACTCTGTATAGAGAGAGAAGAACAATCCCAAATGAAAAACTAATTATGTTTCACCTTCCACGTGGTACAGGATTGGATATGATGAGTTCATGTTTTTGTCTGCGTCTTCTGAGATACAGCACGGCAAACACCACTGCAGAGATACCTACTGCCCCTGCCACGAGAAACACCACCACACCTGCCACACTGGAGTGCACCATCCCAGGATTACTGCCAGAACCCACATTAGCCTCCAGTCGAGTAACAGCTGAAAGACACGTGAAACCGTACACAAGGTGCAATGTAATATAGACCATAGAGAAAGGTGAGACACAATAACACCATTCAAAGCCTCACTATACCTAACCTATAGGTGCCAGTCAATAATGGCTTCTGGTGACTCACAAGCATTGACTCCAGCCTTTGAGCAGCAGTACGGCAGTGGGCTCAGGTACTGTCCTGTATCCTCACAGTCTATGAACAGAAATCCGTCCACCTCCAGAATTATCCTGTTCTGTTCGAAAGTCTCCACGACGCGATCCCACTCTGTGGGACAGAGATCTCGCAGCTGGTGGCACGTGTTGCCGCAGACAGATGTGGGGGGCTGAAAGTGTGTCGAGTTTCCACAGGGAGGGAGGTAAAAGTGGCAAATGACTCTCCTTGCAGTCTCGTAGCAGCTCTCCAGGGAAGCTAGTAACTGAGGTCCAAACCTGACAATGTTTCGCATAAACATTGAGAAACTCCCGCCAATTCTCTCGTAGGGAATGTACACGTAGTCCACTCCTGACTCGTAAAAGTCGTCGCAAGGGGTTGGCATCTCTCGGGCATTGTAGGGCACACAGTTACCATACCTGCAAATAAACAGTACCCAATTAACACCCAAGTAACACAATGGAGCATATTTTCCCATTGCCACACTTTATTCCATGACTATGCTCATAATTGGTCTATCAAAGAGGAACTTCTACAGTGTTACTGCACATCCCATGTCTTTCCCACACACCTTTGCAAGCAGCTCCTCGAAAACTGTACAGCGCTGCAGTCTTCCCCAGCACCATTACTGGAGACATCATCATGAACTGGGCAAACCTCATCAGGATCTGAAAAGTATGAACAGACCAGCAGTACAAATACATTCTTGGAAGGATAAAAGCAAAACTTTGAACCAAGTCCCTTACCACCACAACGGTTTTCCCAACTGTCATATAAAGCCTTAGAGTGTAGACTTCAGTAAGAGAGATTATGGGAGGCTATGGGCATCTGATTTGGACATATCCAGCTAAGAACAAGAAGTTGTTTTCCCCCCTATATATTATAATTATATAATTATAGTTATTGTCACTCAAGAAGTATTATCGGGAGCTCACTTGGGTCACAGAATACACCGGCATCATGGGAGTGGTCCAGTGGGCAGTCGTTGACACCGATGCCATTGTGTGTGCAGTCCTCCAGCCTCTCCTCGTCTCCAGCACAGGCTGAATTGTCAATGAGTGTCCTCCCACCACCTCCACCAAACCCGGGCAGAGCATGTGCAGCTGTAAGTAAGAGAGACTTTTCATGACCCAACAAACTACAGTAACCCATTTACAAATAGAGATACCTCCGAACAAGTAATACCTTAGGTACATCGACAGTGTAAGACATCCCTTATTCGGCAGTTTATGTATAGCTGTGACAGAATCAAGTTTTCTTCATAGAAGAAGTGTCCTCTATTCAGAAGGTCCCTTTTTCGGAGGGGTCACTGTGAATAATGGCTATAACTGGCCAATAAAGGATCTGGCATGCAGATACACATCTAACCATATCTCTAGCTTCTGTAAACATAAAGTATAGAGGCTGTTATTACCCTTAGTTGGTAGTCCCAGCTGTCTGCACACGACCCTGGCATCATTGTCGTCCCAGTCATGATCACAGACTGTGCCCCACTCCCCTGCATGACAGAACTCCACTCTACCACCAGCTCCTCCATCAAACTCTTCCACTAGTTGAACCTCTCCATCGACACACCCAGCTAGTCCACCACTCCCACTCTCTCCTGTAGCTACACCAGTAGAGTGGGGAGAAAGTTATTTTAGTTAAATCAGCCCTTACGAAGTTGGCCAATCGCAAGTTATTTTCGTTAAAAATGGCTTGCAAAGTTGGCGAGTTGAAACAGTTATAATTATCATAAAGACTGAGAGGTTGGTTGATACCTAGCACAAGAACAAAGGACGCAGGAATAGCTCTACACACAATAGCATAGCAAGAATCTTACCACTAAGCATTAGTAGGTGAGTTACTCCAGACAAAACCATCATGAACAATACGGGATACATGGCAAGCCCAAGGTGAAGTTTAAAAGACCACGCTGCATGCAAATGTTTATATACCATATACGCGCAGCGGCGCCATCTCGCATCTCGCATCTCGTGAGCAAAACCGCGCATGCGTGTCGCGCAGCGGTAGATATATTGCCGTATGGCGTGTAATCGTAGCTCAGCTCAGCTGGGAGGGCGCTCGCATACCGCCGTGGGTTTTTAATTAATGCCACCCTCACATAGGGCAGACCTTTTTTGTGCTGGGCGTAGTGTATTTGCCTTACCTCTCGTCGATAGTGACGCACACATAGCTACTCAGTTGAGGGTTAGTGTCTGAGGCAGTCTGAGAGAGCATTTCCCAACATAACTGACGATCATTTTATTGACTGTCAAACAGTTTCTCTATTACATTGACTGCTGATCTGATCTGTTCTAACCATCAATCACTGCGACTGCATGAATAATAATAGATTATGTTGCATTTTTTTCACGTGTTTAGTTTTTACCTGCAGTGAATATAATATGTAACCTGAACATCTCATCTGGTTGGGGTCCTGTCATATTATACTAGCTTTACATGAGGGGTCTACAGCCGACAAACTGTCTACCTCTGAATTTGCCTGTGACAAAATGGGATTTGCACAGTCTATTCCCAGTGCACTCCAGTAAGGTACTTACACAAATGCGATAGTTCATATGTGTACTACTGTCTATTCCCAGTGCACTCCAGTAAGGTATATACTTATGCGATAGTTCATAGTGTGCTACTGTCTATTCCCAGTGCACTCCAGTAAGGTACTTACACAAATGCGATAGTTCATATGGTACTACTGTCTATTCCCAGTGCACTCCAGTAAGGTATATACTTATGCGATAGTTCATAGTGTGCTACTGTCTATTCCCAGTGCACTCCAGTAAGGTACTTACACAAATGCGATAGTTCATATGGTACTACTGTCTATTCCCAGTGCACTCCAGTAAGGTATATACTTATGCGATAGTTCATAGTGTGCTACTGTCTATTCCCAGTGCACTCCAGTAAGGTATATACTTATGCGATAGTTCATAGTGTGCTACTGTCTATTCCCAGTGCACTCCAGTAAGGTACTTATACAAATGCGATAGTTCATAGTGTACTACTGTCTATTCCCAGTGCACTCCAGTAAGGTACTTACACAAATGCGATAGTTCATATGGTACTACTGTCTATTCCCAGTGCACTCCAGTAAGGTATATACTTATGCGATAGTTCATAGTGTGCTACTGTCTATTCCCATGGCACTCCAGTAAGGTACTTACACAAATGCGATAGTTCATATGGTACTACTGTCTATTCCCAGTGCACTCCAGTAAGGTATATACTATGCGATAGTTCATAGTGTGCTACTGTCTATTCCCAGTGCACTCCAGTAAGGTATATACTTATGCGATAGTTCATAGTGTGCTACTGTCTATTCCCAGTGCACTCCAGTAAGGTACTTATACAAATGCGATAGTTCATAGTGTACTACTGTCTATTCCCAGTGCACTCCAGTAAGGTACTTACACAAATGCGATAGTTCATATGGTACTACTCGTGCACTCCAGTAAGGTACTTACACATATGCGATAGTTCATAGTGTGCTACTGTCTATATACTCCCAGTGCACTCCACTAAGGTATAATACACTTACACAAATGCGATAGTTCATAGTGTGCTACTGTCTATTCCCAGTGCACTCCAGTAAGGTACTTACACAAATGCGATAGTTCATATGGTACTACTCGTGCACTCCAGTAAGGTACTTACACATATGCGATAGTTCATAGTGTGCTACTGTCTATATACTCCCAGTGCACTCCAGTAAGGTATAATACACTTACACAAATGCGATAGTTCATAGTGTACTACTGTCTATTCCCAGTGCACTCCAGTAAGGTATATACTTATGCGATAGTTCATAGTGTACTACTGTCTATTCCCAGTGCACTCCAGTAAGGTACTTACACAAATGCGATAGTTCATATGGTACTACTGTCTATTCCCAGTGCACTCCAGTAAGGTATATACTTATGCGATAGTTCATAGTGTGCTACTGTCTATATACTCCCAGTGCACTCCACTAAGGTATAATACACTTACACAAGTGCAATAGTTCATAGTGTGCATAGCTACATACCTGTGTCATGTTATAGGCGTGGTGTGCTTACGATATGTACACACAGTATCCTAACATAAGTATATAGTGATCATTGACTGGCAAAGAGTCTTTACCCCTTGACTGTCTCTAAAGAACAACTTCACCGAAGGTGATTGAGCTAGCTCAGCTGTTCCCACAAAAAGACACATGAATCACTAAGTGCATGAAGATTATCTCTGCATTTTTGCATGTTTTTTAGCTTCTACATGTTATATAGAGTCACGTGTTTAGCTTATACATATTATAGTCTATTCCACCTGATACTGTTTCATGGCACAGTGGTTTGAGGTTTTCCATTGTGTTGTACTTTATTGAAGATTTGAACCCCTACCAACTGAGTTGCCTTGAGTGCTCGCCTAAACTTCAGAGTGTCATGGGTTCGAATCTCACCCAGGGCAGCTCTTCTTCTTTTCTTTGAAAAGAAAGAGCTGTCCTGGGTGTAGTTGACTTGTTTGCCTTGCCTTGCCTTTCTACCTCTCTAACGCGCTCGGCAATTATAGCCTCATAACTAGGATTGCGCACGCGCCTCGCGCCAATGTCCGACTGAGGCAGCTCGTGCGCGCGCTCTACTGACTGCGCGCGAACCGCGAAGCGAGACTTCCTACGAGACTTCCTACGAATCTTCAGTAGCTAGACTTCCTACGAATGACGGAAGTTACACTTCCTTTTGGTGACTAATTGACATTCCTAAGCGTGACTAATTGACGGCGTTCGTACTGACGTACGCCCGACTAACGCTAACGCGCTCGGCAATAAGGGACACTTCCTGACTAAAGGACAGTCCCCTATTCAGAGGTTCCAATCAAGTCTGTGGCACACAGGAGAAGATTGATGCCCTCAAGGTGCTGGGGGCTGATGTGAGACCAGTACCAGCTGTTCCATTTGACAATCCTGACCATCAGGTGAGCACCACTGTAAGATAGCCGGAAATATTTCTAGTGTCAAGAAACACGTTTTTTCAACTTTTGACTTGCATTGAATGGGTCACACGTACCATTTGGACATTTTATTGGACATTGTGTAAAATACGTAGTGAAAATTTCCTTCACTTCACCGTTTTAAGATAGCTAATATGCATGCGTATTGTTGAACTGGTGCTGTACCTTTGCCTTGTGGTATTGTTTAGTGTGTCAGCACGGCATGATATTCAGTGCTCATGTTCTTGCAATAAACAAATTGTCTAAATTACTCGCCCTGTGATTTGATTGGTCAAGGCTCGCCGCTATGCCGAGTCTCTGGAGAATGCAGTCTGGACAAACCAGTTTGACAACACTGAGCTCACATTGAGACCACCGGCCCCGAGATTTGGGAGCAGACTGGTGTGTGTGTGTGTGTGTGTGTGTGTGTGTGTGTCACAATATCTCACTTATGGTTGCATTATAATGCTAGTTATATGGCATGAATCACAAGCGGAGGAGCAAGTTAGCAATAGCTGTTTTACTGCAAAAGTCTGTCTCCTATTAATACTCCAGGTGGTCGTGTGAGTGCAGTCACATCCAGTTCTGGCACGGGAGGCACTCTGGCAGGTAGGGAACCCTGCACATCTCTGTGATTGCATTCACTACGCACTGCTGGGAAATGCCTGTTCTTTACTATAGTTTGGTGCAATAATAATAATGATAATGCAGGGGCGTATAGAAATGAGGGGGTGAAAAAGCGTGCATGCAGGAAAAATTTATACCGGAATCCCCTGCACGTAATTTACACAGGAAGCCGGAAGTAAAAAGTAGGCCGGTGCGCGGCGCTTTCCAGTTTGCATAATTAAGGGTTACTGTAGTTGTCTTGTGTGTCTGTCTGTCTGTGTGTGTATCTGTTACCGTTCTAGCTGCTTCAGCGTCCGTTTATATCCGCAAGCAACGATACACACAAGTTTCTCGTGGGCTTTTCTTGGATTGGATTTTCGACAAAACCTTCCGTTCCAAAGTTATGCCGTGAAAAGGCCAATATGCAAATAAGTTACAGGTCACCGTGAGCCGTTTGTGCACACTTTCGGGACCAACGAAACGCAGCAGCTACTCGAATGACAACTGGTCGGTGGAATGTTGCTTCAGACGCTAGCAAGCGGCCAAAGACAAGCTATGCTAGATGAGCCACCGACCGGTGGGTCGAAGCAAGACGGCCTGCGTGTAAGCGCCCGCTCAATGTAAGCGCCAACGCATGCATTGTTCGCCGAGGGTTTGCACTTTAGTGCTTTTCATATTACTTGCGCAGTTAATATAAAGTATATACACAATATACTGTTACACCATAACAAGCCTTTTTGTTCGAATAATATTATATATGTGAATGTATCAAAGGCACGACAGTCATACTTTAGACAGTTGCCACACGTTGGAGAGTGCCTGGTGAATTATACTAGCCACCCACGGTACATGTAGCTGATTCTTCTGATTTGTTGTAGCAGTTCGAGTGAGTGTCTTGCTACAAACGCGCCTTGTTCATTACCTTCTCTCAACCGCAACACGTCTTCATAGTTCTCTAGCACGCTGCTGTAACTAATAAGTATGTATGTATCACTTCTGCGTCAAGGTCCAGGGTCCGGGGAGTATCTGTAGACTATGAATCCAGATGTCCAAGTAGTACTGGCTGATCCCCATGTATAAATATCATAGTACATTTTTTCGCCTCATTTGTTAGATTAACATTCCTATCATACCATCTTGTATCAGGTTTTGTTGCTTGTATATTTATGGTCTATTGAGCACAACCTCAATAGCATCCACAGAAACAATCCACTAATACGTTTATGTAGTATAGAGCATTCAAAATCTGTTTGGATACTGTATGCACCTAGTAGTACTCTACTACACACCCTCACACACAAGACATCAAGCGATCAATGATACGATTAGTGTGTCTCGCCTCTTCTACTGCATAGGACTAACACCCATTGTCATAAGTCATATCGCGAGTTTGGCTACTTTCCTTGACAGCGCCTCGTCCCTGTCTCCTTGTAAGAATTGATTATCTTTCAGTATTATCATGACCTAATCTGCAGCTGGGGGTTGGTCGTAGGCATACTCAGAGCTACGCATGCCATTTCGAGGGCGTTTAAGTACTTAGCTAAAGTACCTATCAATTATCGGACGGCCGTGGAGACGTAATGGAAAGTGTTGTAGTTTTGCTACATCTGTTTGTAGCCATATACCTAAGCTAATACTATCTATAAAACCAAGGTGCTGCCTCGAAGCATCCGGCCGGCCGTGACACCCGCTAAAACAACGGTGTCCGATGGTCCCGACCATCGGACGATATACCAAATATCGGACACTGCGCTTGCGTTCGAGAAGGCAGCAAGCTAATCAAGTCAAATCATGGCCAGCAACTAGGCCTACATTCCTTCTACCTAACGTGTAAATACGAGCTTCGTTAGCTTTTCCGTGACTTCAGGGCAGGAGTAATTTTTGGCGCAAAAACATCCTCCAATTATCGGACAGGTCCCTGGCGCTTCGCGGGTGTGAATTTTGCTACGAATGTGCTGAACGATTATAAACTAGCTGTCTTTCAACGTTAGAAGAGTCGATTCGTGTATAGTACATGTTTTCACCCAGTGCCGTGTTCTTCTCGCAAGACAACGCCCCCGCAATACTTCGGGATAGTAAGCCAGCTGTAGACAGTGGAACTCAACAACTCAAACCTTCGAATGAAAAGCAACCAGCAACAGCTGACTCATTGGTAGCTAAGAAATTGATATATGAACAATGGTGAAATCCATGGCAAATTTTGCAAACCCACTGAACTTCGTGAGTTTAAAAAGAGAAGACTTCATCTTGTATGTCCATGATCTACCATTCATAGCACTGTGCCCAATTAAAGCGATCACTGTGCGGCATTCGGCATAACAGTGCAGCTCAACCTTGGTCAGGTTTTAACGAAGTTCAGTGGGTTTTCAACATTTGCCATGGATTTCTCCATCGGACACCGTAGTTTTAGCGGGTGTCACGGGCGGATGCTTCGAGGCAGCACCTTGGTTTTTTAGATGGTATTAGCTTGGTATAATATGGCTACAACAGATGTAACAAAAAGTAATACAACACTTTCCATTACGTCTCCACGGCCGTCCTATAATGTGAGGGTGCCGATAATTGATAGGTTACTCTGCTGCCCACTCTAGTTTTTACAGTATAGCTACTTAAAGTATGGCGTGAAAACAAGTGATCAAAGCCAATATGTAAATTAGCACAGGCTTACCGCGACCGTGTCTTGAAGGCACAACAAGTCACAACGAAGGGCATGCATCGACACATGCTATTACTACTGTAGCTAGCCCGTTCCAGACTCCTCCGCGAGCTACTAGCGGGATACCACGAGTAAAGGCATAAAAAACGCCAGGCCCATCAATTAGTGGTACCGGCACATGCGCAGTTCGCCGAGGTTTGCACTTTAGTGCTTTTCATATTAATACTAGCTTTACATGAGGGGCCTTTGAAAGCTGACAAACTATCTGCCTGTAATTGCCTGTGACAAATTTGATTTGCAGTCTATTCCAGTGCATCTCCAGTAAGGCAATTACACAATAATGTCATAGTGTGCATAACTACATACCTGTGTCATGTTGGGTGTGGTGTGCTTACTGTATATACACACAGTATGTGAGAAGAGCAGTGTTTGTTTGGCAGCCTAACATAAGTAGTGATCATTGACTGGCAAAAAGAGTCTCTACCCTCGTTGACTGTCTCTAAAGAACAACTTCACCGAAGGTTATTGAGCTAGCTGCAGCTGTTCCTACAAAAAGACACGTGAATAACTGAGTGCATGAAGATTATCTCTGCATTTTTGCATGTTTTTTTTAGCTTCTACGTGTTATATAGAGTCACATTTTTAGCTTCTACATGTTATAGTCTATTCAACCTGATACTGTTTCATGGCACAGTGGTTTGAGGTTTTGCCCATTGTGTTGTACTTTGTTGAGATTGAACCCCTACCAACTGAGTGGCCCTGGTAGCTCAGTTTGTAGAGTGCTCGCCTAAACTGCAGAGTGGCATTGGTTCGAATCCCACCGTGTTACACCCTTCTCATAAGTCATATCGTGAAGTTTGGCTACTTTCCTTGACAGCGCCTTGTCCCTGCTCTCTTGTAAGAATTGAATTTATCTATCAGGTATGTTGCATGAGCTAATCTGCAGCTGGAGGTTGGTCGTAGGCATACGCAGAGCTACGCATGCCTGCTCGAGGGGCATTTAGTACTACCCACTCTAGTTCTTGCAGTATGCTTAATGTTTGGAGTTATAAAATTACTGACCGATTACTGTACTGTGGCAGTATTATACTCCTGTCTGCCGAACTCCCTCCGCACACCATAGCTTTTTCGGGGGCATTGAAGCATACGAGCGGACATTTAGTTGGGGGCAAGGCGCCGAAGCGCTCTGCGCAAACTGATTGGACCGCAATGCTTCATCACGTTTGCTCATCCAACGAAAAATCGCAGCCAGTATACATAGGTCTCAATTGTCCCGATTTAGGCGGGACTGTCCCGCTAATAGTCTCTTTTGTCCCGCTGTCCCCGCCTACCAACGCGCCTTCAGCTTCAGTGCTTTTGACTGACGCATGCGCAGGCGGGCTTTATTGCATTATCGACACATGTATATACACACGCCCTTTCCAGTCTGTGATCGTGATGGAACAGCGCGGTGACTTACCACAGGAGCTGGAGGATATTCCTAGACCACCCAAGAAAGCCAAGCGTGAATGTAAGTATCAGAGTGAATGGTGTAATAGCGGCGTTTTGCCGAGCAAGAAAGGGCCTGCATTCGCGTTGTGTGAATCGTGTGGAGTCGATATAAACGTCTGGGCACGGAGGTTTATACGACGTGAGAAAGCATTTTGCAACCTCGAAGCATCAACAAATGCTTAAAGCAACGAGCAGCACTATGAGTTTGAAGTCTTTTTTTAGGTCATCGCCTGTGGAGGAGTCGATAACACGAGCGGAAGTTCTCTGCTAATTTCATTGCGGAACATAATCTACTATTTATGCTCGCCGACCATTTTACTCATCAGAGAACCGTTGCAACCTTAGTAGTACTGCAGTAATGCGTCTTGCTAGGCGTTCTCCACTGCAGTCCCATCAGAACTTTTTGATGTCCTGCAAAGAGGAGGTCCTAGACTATAAGCTCCCTCCTCAATCAGATATTCCGGATGTAGACAAAGAAGGACATGAGGACCACAACTGCGTTCTTACTGGCAATTTGTCGGGGAAATGAAAACCTTGTGTGGTAGCTACAACACGATTTCCTACCCTCTCTAAACTCTCCAAGTGCTTGTTGGCATTAATGCTGAAACAGAAAGAGTTTTTAGTATCGTTAGGAAGATTGTAACTGACTAATGGACCAATCTACTCAGTGTGCTTTGATATCTTGCAAAATAAATAACGATAGTGTGTGTTTTCAGCTTGATACTCTCACTATTCTTTTGAAGAAGGCAAACTCTGCAACAGTAAAGTATAATTGAGCTCATTCATCTAAATGATGTTTTATTCAGTACTCTGTATTCTAAACATTCTTCCATGTTGTTGTCCCTCTTTTTTACGAAAATCCCACATTATTAACAAAATTATCCCTATAGATGTATGAGTATAGCTACCTAACTCAACCAAATAGCGCTGGTTTTTCAAGGGGACTGTTGATGTATCAAAAAGGGCGTCCTGCAATAGGCACCGAGAACAATGCGACATTAGTTCGATAGCCACACCCACTAACGCGCGAACTGTTTAATTGGTAGCGATCTTGCAACCCACACTCAGCCCAACAGTGCATGCCCAATGGCATTTATTATAGCTGCGTGAACTCAACTCGTGGATTTTCATTCCCTTTGACGTTTGGCCGGACTACTAACTGCAAGGTGTTTGACATAATATGGACTTCATACCCCAGATAACTCGACAGCCATGGACATTACAATCATGGACTCTTGTTGCTCAAAAGCATCCCCTGCTCCTAAGGTTTGCCCACTAAGAAATGGTAGCTAATGGTACCAATAAAGAGTTCACCTAATTATACTGCAGGGACAGGGTGTAGAGACAGATCAAGACGTACCAACTTCACATGGCACAGAAGCTCAGCAGAGGCCAGCTTCCTCACCTGAAGTAAAACAAATGCTTTCTTAGGTAGATTAACTAACTGCTTCCCATGCTTGATTTTGCATACATAGTTCATAGTTGAAAGTGATTTAAGCGTGCGAGCCTGTCACACCCCCATATTCGCATTTACCTTTAGGAGGACATTCGACGGTTATAGCTACAGGGAATTTTAGAGGTATAGCGCGAGTTATTATAAGGATGATTGGTGATGAAATATAGCGAATGTGTGACTTGCTGCAATCACATAGATATCATTGGATAAACCTGTTAGCTATCATTATTTTCACATATATCATTATTTTGTCAGCTGATGGGTTACTCTTGAATTTGCAGGCTCTACAACAGTTACGGGAGAGTCTTAAACCCAAGTTTGAAAGTGTGGATACAGATGGAGGAATGCCTATTGTGTTTGAACTACCCAATGGAGAAAAGCTCACATACAATACCGATATTATGTCCTGTTCAACCAAGGTATTATATGCAGTGTATAAGCTACATCATAGCATCCATTGACCTTCAATGACAGTGTGGCACAGTTCATAATTTCATTTGATCCACCATACAAAAAAAGGCTAACGTTTTTTGCATAATTATGTATTATAATAGTCAACTTATATGCAAATAACAATACTTCATGTTATGCACACATAGTTTAGTGTCACCATAACCATGTGATAGAGTTAACTTTGTTTTTTTATCCTGTAGATGCTCTATGAGTATGTGTTTTATGCTGGTTTGGTTAATCAGCGATTCCGGATCTTTTCTGGTCCTGCACGACGACCAATACCTTGCAACCATAGCAAAATATCTGAAATAAATTTTTTAAGTCATTTACTTTTCGTTGTGGAGTATGAGGAAGGAGACATTTTGGAATTTTTGCAGGAAACAATTGCATAATGAAAAACTACTGACGTGTGAAGCACATAAGGAACGTGTGTGTCTGACACACGCATTTCACAAGACGAGTGCACAAAAACCACCCACTAATGTTTGTTTGGGAAAAGGATCTAACATGCTAAGCATCCAGTTGAGCGAAAACATGTCATAGTCACAGCGTAAGGTCTTCCTCACTTGCTAGCATGCTCACATCATCCAAAGCTAATCACAGAAGGCTGTAGCTTGGTCTTTCTAGACTTCTTGTGACAATCTCATACCGAGTCACTCTAGATCTGCACTGATACATGGTTGGCAACCTTACTGGAATAGTGGGAAAGCTCCGAAATCATGTACAACTATAGCGCTGTCCCGGTCCCGGCGTAGAGAAAACACCAAAAATATCTGGGAATTGATGCTCACCTCCACCTTACACTTCATTTAATGGCTACTTCAGGCAAAACAATTTGTCTACGTTAGCCTACGGTCTAAACAGGTATTATAGCCAAGCAAGAAATGCACATTCACATTTTTATTATAGTTAGTTTAGTTAGTTTTCCTGGTTTCCCAAGTGAGAGTTTAGCAAATGATAATAAATTCACTTGCTTTAATACTGTACCTTAAGTTTTGGCAGTTTTCAATTCAGTTTGTATAGGGCTAGCCAACCTTTGCTATATATCACCTCTACTGTGGCAGAAAAACTCAGACTCTATGCCTATATAGTAACAGCGTATTATAGCCCAAGAGAGGTCCTTATTCAGAAGTGTTTAGTGTATAACAATGTTGTTCAGAGCTGTTTAGCTGTAATTATCTTAGATTTTAGGCATTAATAAGATATCAACCCCTTACTATTAGCTACCCTGAAAATTTAACCCAAGGTATCACTGCAACAAACCACAACATATACTTGACAAAATTATCTGTGACGCAAGCATTTTCTTCATTATACAATTCCATTGTGCAAACTATAACATTACCGATTGATTTTTCATCCTAGACGGTGGAAGAAAAATGAAGTGGGTGGATATTATATTCAAGTGGATACTAGTGGCTGTGGTACTTTGGGATTTACATATGTGTCTGGAAATCAGTGGCGTTACAAAAGAGCAAAAGGTTAGTTGTTACAGTATCTTTGTAATTTTCATCCTGATGCACAACCATTGTCCTGACATACAACTGGAGTGCCTGGTTAGATGGCTTATCTTATAAACTTGATATTTTTCATATTGCGTGCTAAAGCTCTGTGTATATAGCCTTACAATCACTTCACAATCTACCAGCAGTTTCTCTTTAAAGCCAACATTGGTCAGTGAGAAACAGTAACTTATAGCCAGCTAGCTCTGTGAGAACTTTATTTGTATCAACTAGTGGCCAGGCAATAATGCAGGTCGTCAGGCATCTGGGCAGAACATTGTAAAGCCTTAGTATGCATGTGTGTGGAGCAAAGGGTAGCACAGGGATGTAGCTAATCACTAATTTTGTTATCTGTGTTTATCAATGGGTTGTTGAGGGAGGTAGAGGAATCTGAGATTGGGATTGATTTAAGTAGTGGCGGGAGACTTGGAGGACTTTGTTTGCAGATGATTTTGTTGGTGTTAGCGAGTCTAAGGATCAGATGCAGATGCTTATAGATGTGGTGCATGCTTACTGTCGGAAATGGAGGCTAAAGGCTAAAGGCTAATGTGAGTAAGAGTGCAGTGATGGTGTTCTCTACGGAGCCAGTGGATGGTGCTTGGAAATGGAGGGAGGGAGCATATTCTTCATATGGGGGATATGGGGATTGATACATTACAAGAGCGTATGGATAAGAATAAGTTGAAGTGATGGTATAAGGTAGCTGCAATGCCAGACAATAGATATTTGAAGAAGCTTTTTAATCAGGAATGGAATTTTAAACCACGAAGAGGCAGGCAGAGGAAGTGCCGGAGTAAGGTCATTGATGATCTCTTTTCATCATTAGGTCTTGATAAGGAAGAGTGGTTGCGTGATATTCAAAACTGTCTATAGTAGGGGACAGTATCAATGAGAGGGAGTTTAAAGAGGGGTTAAATAGCAAAGTAAAGCTGTCGTTGTATAAGACGTTTAACAAGGTGGTAGAATTCAAGAAGTATTTGCATGGGGCAAGTGATGCTGAGTCTAGATTAATGTTTAAGTTCAGGTCAGGCACACATGGGCTAAATTAGGAGCTTGGTAGGCATAGGGGGAAGGAGGAGAGGAAGGAGTGCCTGATGTGTGATGAAAGTGTGAGTCATGTGTTGTGGGAGTGTCCAGCATATTATAGGAGCAATTTCTTGCCCTGCAGGGGAAGCTTGGGGATGGGTTTGAGCATTTCCAGTCATTCGATAGTTCAGGAAGGCATCCTTTATTTTGGTAGTGAGCTGTGGGAGGATAAATTTGGTTCTCTGCTTGATCTTTTTAAGAGTTTTATTTTAGATGTTTGGGAGCTAAAAAGGTTAGGTTATACGGTGATAATCCAAGCGTTCAACAGTCCCAGTCTCAGAATGTGTCTGGCGGAGCTTCAGGGTGTCACTGGTGGAAGGGTGAGTTGAGGTGTCTGGGAGGTGAGACAGACACCTGTATGAGTGTAGTTCATTTGGTGAGTGTTCATTTGTTAAATGTTCCGCCCATTGCCCTGGGTGTGTGGTCGATGGCCCCAGTGCTATGGCTGCCACTTGAGTATCATTTTTTAGTACGCATGCACAGGAGGGTTAACTAAACAGCACACTGCTTTGTTAGGAGTTTGAGCACATTTGGCTTATGGGGTCCGCCATAATAGTTTACCTTGCAATTCCAATCCCATGCAAAACAAGAGCACCAACTGTGCATGTCTAAACATGGCCTATGTGGACAACAAATTCCAGTTAAATTCCACAACATCAATTGCATGAATAGTGACCCACACTACACATAGTAATTTCTAAAACTGTACGTAATTGCAATACTCTGCATAATATTCTTATTCACCTGTATCTCAAGTTTTTCTTTCGTAATATAGGTGACTGTTTTGATGTTTCAACTCCAAGTAATGGTCAAGGTCAAGTGCAGATAAAGCTGGGGAAAACAATTTTAACAGTTGAAGAAAAGGAAAATAAACTCATGGAACCGCAATTCATGGAGGTAGCTAATACACATATGGGCTGGTCTCACAGGCCTCGCATGGGGAGAGAGGGACTCTCAAGTTTTATTGGCGAGAGAATGCGTGTGTGAAAAATTGCACATTTTCATACTTAGATTTGGGTAAAGAATTTACAAGTTTGTAAGATCCGCCAATACAAATTGAACATAACAATATGGAACAGAATCTAATAAACTTTACACGTGTCATCTAGAGCTGGGATGGTCGACCATGTTTTGGCCAACTGTCGTGCACCTGAACATAGATGACGACATGACAAGTATACTACAGTTTGTGTGACGCTCTACATTGCATGTCTCTTTCTGGCAACAGGTCACAGATACCTAGCCACTCCACTTTAAAAGTAGTTACTGTTAATTCTGTGAATATGCTAGCTGTAGCTCAACAGTTAGCTTGCTCCTGCTAACAAGTGATTGTGCATTTATCTTTCTGCAGAGTATGCGTTCAACAGAAACAAATGCCTACCATCAAGAATTTAATTACTGTGGCAGTCCAGATTCATTTTATCTTCATTTGCAGACAAAAGAGGAAGACACCTACTATTTCACTGCAACACGTAATGTAATTAAAATGTCAAAATCCTTTAAAGGTCGGGCAAACTTTTCCCTTTCTAACGGGAGAAAAATTCATTGAACATTGAAACTGAGATACTCACTTGTCATTTACCTACTATAATATTATACAGTATAATTATCATGTTATTATGAGCATTTCTGAAGATTAAACTTCGCAATAGTTTCCCTTACCAAGATTAAGTAATTCATTGCCTTTGAAGTGCAAACTGGATAAACAGTGTCATTCAAAGGAACCGCATGCATAGAATAATGTTCAAGACAAGTGTTGAAAGTCAAGAGCAAGTTCACGTACTTCGCGACAATCCAGAACTTAGAAACATACATAGCTATGTATTAAAGCAAGGAGACAAGACCGGGAGGACCTATATAGTGCATATGAGGTGCAGTGGAACACACAGCTCTCTCACTCCCACTTGCCAAAAATTACATTGCCCTTCACTCTTGCCAGCCTCGCCCACCATGCAAATCCCATGAGACAGAAATAAATTGCTGCAGATATATACATTGTTTAGCTACTTATATAGCTACATGGTAAGGGTGGTATTAGTAGAACTCATACAATATCCCATGAGACGAATCAGTGCAAATTCCTTGGCAAAGAATTTGCTGACCTCAACTAATAATGGCAAAACGCAAACATGACAAATAAAAAAACAAAGGTGGTGCACATCACAAGATGGTGTGTGTGTTGTCTTCGGAGTGCGATCCTGTGTTTGTGTGTCCAGTTGGGGTCCTCCAGAGAGAGGGGATGGAGGGTTGAGATGGTGGACGGGAGTTCTCTGCACCCACCACACAGAATGGGGATAAGTAGTCCTGCCCCTCCCATTGACGACTGCTGCAGCACGTGCTTGAGCTCATAGTTGCACCACTCAGTCAGCTGGTAGTCTGGGGCTATGACGGCCACCACTTTATCGGTCAACTGTAGTATGTTCAAGACAAGTGTTCAAGACAAGTGTTGAAAGTCAAGAGCAAGTTCACATACTTTGTTACAATCCAGAACTTAGACACATACATGTCTCCTCCTGGTCAAATATTTATGCAGTTCTGATGGGGATACACTCTTCACGATATTCAGTTCAATGTGCTGGGAGCTCGACCCTATCTCTCAGTCTGGAGATAATGTGGGTGACCACTACCTGTGGAGCTTAATCTCTCCCTCAGCAGTGACACTGCCCTCAAGTTCGCCAAGGGTTTTTGCAGGGTTACAGTAGTCGTTCTGTGTTCTGTGTGCCTGTCTCTCTGTCTGTCTACGACTATTACTCGCACTACAGGCTACGAGCGGCTTATGCGCGATACCAACAGCGTTAGCGCTATATACATGGCTAGAAAAAATGCGATTTGCTGAACGGACTGCACTGCGTGCGACGCGTACAGTTGCGTGGTGGCCCAACCCATCAATACGCGGTGGCGCATGCGTGTATTAGACGCGAGATCAAATTAATGGCTCACCTCGACCTGATCCGCTTGCTCTGTGTACCTTGGAGGCGCAAGAAGCCACAGCGAAAGGCCTCCCGCATGCTATCTACTACTGTAGCTATCAGTGTCAGATCTCCGCAAGCTACTAGCGGGAGACGCGAGTAAACGCCATAACCCAGCCCATCCATTAGCGGTACCGCGCATGCGCACTTCGCCGAGGGTTTGCACAACACATGAAGTGCGGCGAACTGGTCTGTTTGCTGGAAGAGGAGTGTTGTTTTGTACAGAAAAAGATTAAAACCTCAAAGTCCCCACTCTGTTTCTAGATAGTTTGAAGCCTGTTCATACACCAACAACATAATTGCACCACCTGAAAGGCACAAAAGAGAAATCTCAAGGAATAATCATAGTAGAGCATAATCACAAACCTTGCCCCAAATCGAATAATCTTTGGTAAAAGACCTTTGTATAAAGCCTAAAAACCTGTGAAAGTTATGCACATATGTTATATCTGATCCGGTATAAAGATCACATTTTTGAAACTACATGGCCAGAATAATTATAAACCCCATAGCTACTGAGAATTATTCATGTATTCAGACTACGGTGGCCCAATTGCAATTTCATCTGTGTTTTCATTTTCATTTAGTCTGTCGTTTTTGTCCTTTCAATTTTCGTTCTCATTTTGTCCTCATTTATAAGTAGTTCATGTGGAGCTTCATGCAGGCAGTGGGTAAACAGCCCAAACCCGCCTCCCCCTGAATGAGGCGCTATAATAAGGAAGTAGCTGGCAGTGCAGGCGCAGCCGATGCAGCACTTAGCACATGCACAGTCTTATAAAACTGGCACGGGGACAACCCCCTCCTTCTGTTGAAGAATGAGGAGGGATGGCGGTAAAGCTGGCTGTTGAGGTATTACATTTTTTCGTCCTTCAATTTTCGTCTGTTGTTTGCAGAAGGCGTGGCCGAATTTAGGCAGAGTGCGCGAGACATCTCAATAATGTCTCAGGTGTTTGAGACAATCTCTGTCTCTAACTGTGACGTAGCCTACATACCCCGTGCAGGCATTGCCACTGAACTTCGGACTGTTCCATGGTCTATTGTACTGTGAAAGGAAGTTGGTTTGGTTTAGTTTGCTGTTGCTGTTGGCGCTACTAGTTACTCACCCTTCAAACCACGCCTACGGCAATCAACAGACGAAAATCGAAGGACTAAAATTGAAGGACAAATATGAAAACGAAAATCGACAGACTACAATAAATCGACAGGTGAAAATTGCACTACTGGGTCACCGTAGACTCACCCTTCCTCCCTCCAGACGGTGAGGATAGTGGGGAAGGTTCTGGTGTACTTGGGGGATTGAGAAGCCTGGATCCTGCTCTTGGCCACGTCCACTGGGAGGTTCCCCAGACTGGACAGAGCTCCAGCTGTGAACCCAAGACACAGTCTCAGTGGAATTGAGTCTTGTTTCTGTGGATGAAGAGTGGCTGATGCTCTGAGACATGCTAGCCATTACAGGATCCTCCGGGATCCTGCCTTGCGTTACATTTGGCATCAACAAAATGCTATGAACTATAATATCCCAGGTACAATATGCGTGCATTTTTATGGGGGCAGCATAAAGGTAGTCCTCCTATACACTTATGCTATACTAGGAATGCGCACACGCATCATTTGCCTCGCGCCTGCCAGCCAATGCGTAAACTCCTACGAATGACGGAAGTTGACATTCCGAAGTGTGACTAATTGACATTGCTAAGTGTGACTAATTGACATTCTTAAGCGTGACATTCCCTAAGTGTGACTAATTGACATTCTTAAGCGTGACGGACACGTACGTACGTACGCATATCGCGAGAATACAACCCGGAGTAGTTGCCTCACGCTAACGCGCTCGGCAAATATAGCTAGGATGTTAACACCGATCAGTGAGGCTGATATTTCACTCGCTTATGTGCATGTCGCTGTGTGTGTGTGTGCGTGTGTGTGTGTGTGTGTACACCAGTCTGTCTGTCTGTCTGTCTGTCTGTCTGTCTGGTCCCATGTGTTTCTCTGAAACCGCGGCAGTTCCGAAGAAGAAGCGTGGACATCATGGTAGGCATAAGCTATGCTAGGTGAATGAGCTGAGATAGCTGTGGTGGAAAACCCTGTTTTCACATAGAATATACCTTATGGGTCAGCAAATTTGTCCATCTGCTAAAAGCTGCGCACCCACACACCACATAATGTAAGTATATACCTGTACAGTAACTATACCTCTGGTGGTATGAGGAGGTATTTCATGTTGTAATAGGAGCCAAAGTAGACAGCATTGAACATAGCATTCCTCAAGACTGTTGCATGAAAACCTTTAGTCAGTCCCCTGGTGCCCCACCCATCTCGTTTGATTATTTCCCTCGCCACCAGCCAAGTGTTCGGCATCTGTCAGTGCAGTGGAGCCTTAAGTTAGTACAAACGCTGGAACAAGCGTTTTGGGAATTTTTACAGCACTTAGCTATAGTGTTTCACCATTATGGCACAATGGTACGGTCCACAATTTGAAGAGTGGTAAAGTGGACCATAGAATTTAGGGTAAACAAGGATGTCCCTCATTATACACAGAGATAGATAGTTACATTTTTCACACCCTGTCCCCGTATATAGCCACATTGTATTCACCTATGTAGCTACCTCTTTGCAACCGCTGTCACACTGGCAGTTAGCAGCACAAGTCTTAGTTTAGTTACCTTGGCATTGCAATAATGATTTACAATTTACAATCTACCTTCAAGAATCATGGGGAAGCTACATGTTTACAGTATTTACCCCGCGCACATGCACACGCAAGGGGATGTGTTTTCAATGGTCTGTATGTCTGTTATTGTCGTCCGCACTATAGAAAGTGGCCACATCTCTTGATATAGGTGCATAAACAAGTTTGAAAGGCGGTTAAACTATCACCAACGGCGTCACTGTGCTTAGAATCAAGGACACTGGCCACAACGACTAGAAATCCAGCTACAAGTCATTTGGCACGCATATCAATCAACGTGTGCACATGGGCTCAAAGAATACACACAATACCGTGAGGAGTATATAGCTACGTACTCTTCAGAGGACTCACTCAAAGCAAAGTGTGGCAGCTAAAACCGACTTAAGCACAACAAACATGACATTAGAGCTCGCAATATATACAAATTTCAAACATGCCCGGCCCTAAAGGATGATCACGTACTTCCGACATTCGTTGTCTCTGGACCTGAATGTACACTTTAACCCTCTCGAAAGGTGCTATGATTGCTCCTTCTACCGTCCCACTTGCCAGTCCTGCAGTCACCAACGACTGCATGTAAACCAGACACGAGTGAGCAAGTCTCAGTAGCTATAATATATTATCTAATCGTTACCCAGGGTCCTGTGAAATTGACTGACGCACAAGCGCTCTTGGAGGACTCAAACACCAAAAACTGAGGAGAAAATATATTTCTCAAGAGTGGTAAGCATAGCTATGTAGCTACAGAGTTTACTTTTGCAGCTCTCTTCGGAGTGTCAGCCACTACTGGTGGTAGAATCCCCTTATACAGAGAGAAGAATCTGTAATTACGGATACAGTGCGTATAAGATAGCGTACCATTAATTTTGTACGCACATGAAGCTAGGTGCAACAGCTTAATATATACCCTTCATTTCTGATCATTCTAGTGATGCAGTCAAGGATGGAGGTGTAGCGAGACGGATCACTTGTAACTCCCTGGATCTGAAACCTGGCATCACACACACATGATTTCAAGTCCCTCAGCAAGTACTAAGGAACTAACCTGGTCTTTACCACGTCAATTGGCTGCATGCAGCACACCTCCACAAAACCTGGGACACACAATCAGAGATCATAGCAGATGGCTACGGATAGAGATACCAGCGCTTCCTCCCGCGATGATGTGTCGTGCCGACCTCCGCAGATGGCTCGGCTCGCTTGACGAAGTCATACTTAGTTATGCTACACGGACAATCGTCGAGGCGAGACTCCCCGAGCCATACCGGACGGACACTGAGGCGGCCCCGCATACGTGTAGGAAACCTGAAAGGAAACCTTGGCTAGCAGTGCAAAGTTCAAACTCACACTCCGCCACCAAAGAGACCACGCCTTCGTAGTTGGGATTCCATTTTTGTCACAGGGCACGCCAGCGCTGGCGACGAAAGTCTGTTTCATCGTCTAACTAGAACTAGGGTAGAGAGATACGAACGCTCAGCATGCGTAATGGTACAGCGCGTGACAACTGCGCATTAGCTAGACGACGTAAAAATACCAAATAAGACAAAATTACGCTAGCTAGCTACATGAAGTGACAGTATCTAGTATCCTCTGTCTGACACAGTGGTTCTCTCCAGCAATAAATGGCAGGAGATGACACACTGCATTCTCTGCATCAACAATCTGCATGAAAAGAGAATAAGTATGCAAAAAGCTGTCGTAGTTGACTTGTTTGTTGTGCCTTTGCCTCGTAGTTGACACATGTACATATATATGAACAACAGGATCATTTGAAAAAGAGTGCTACACCACATTTGTTCACACAACCCGTCCAAGATATTCTGCTTATCAAACCTGCCTCCCTTTGCTATACACAAACCCACAATAAGCCTGGAGGATTCGTCAAGCTCCGCTGCAGAAAAGTTCAAACCCTCAGCGAACTGGGCATGCGCTGTACCTCTAATTGATGGGCTGTCTGCGTTTACCCGTGATCTCCCACTAGTAGCTCGCGGAGAGTCTGACACGGGCTAGCTACAGTAGTAGATAGATAGCATGCGGGAGTCGATACACGCCCTTCATTGTGACTTCAATGCTAACCTGTGGGGCAAGCAATGCTGCTAGAGCCTCTCGCTCAGAAGAATACTTCAAGTGCATCAGTATAATACCTGGAATACAGTGATAGACCGTGGCATATTCAGCTCTACCAGCCAGATAGAGAATGAAAAATCTCACCCAGCTGTTGGCATGTGAAAACATGTCGTGACGCAACAGATGCAAACAGGATCTCTTGAGGATAAAACAAGAAAAATTGCACGCAAAATACATAGCTCCATAAAGGGCGTGAAGGCCAAATTTAGGAGTCTGCCTGGGAACAGTTCACAATGTGTATAACGAAGTAGTAGCCAAAGAAAACAGGCAAAAGAGCTCACCCTCCCTCTCCGATGGACTGGTGGCGAGCTTCAAACGAGAGATGAGTTGTCCAAAGAGTAACCCCATCGAATTGCAGGTTCGAATAGGGTTAAAACGCAGTGCGCATGCGTAAGCTCGACCATCGGACACACGCAAGATTTACGGACGTATACGAAGAGGCGCACATAAAGCTGCAGCAGTCGACGCCGAGATTATCAGAGCGTCGGTAGACGCTCTATCATCATATTCTTCATCTTCTTCTTCTTCTTCTTCTTCTTCTTCTTCAGACCCGCTGGCTCCTTACCGGAAGCAGTTGAAGCGTTGATTTTTTCACAGAACGTCTCCAAATTTACCGGAAATGTGCACGCATATCAAGCGATCGCTTGTTTCTTGCCGAAAGTCACTACGGTACTGTAGATCGTTGAGCTCTTCAACGGTAGTCACTGGACAGCGCCATTTGCTGCTAACTCAGCATCAGTGAGCCGCATGCGCGCGCCGAGGAGGGCGTTTCCGGATCCCGCGCATTATAGTCTCGCTCGTGCGTGAACCAGGTATACGAGACTAAGCCAGGATGCCTGCAGAGGGACTCTTATCCTCCAGTGCCTTCTGTAAGTCAGTATACACATTTTTAACTGGCTAGCTTGCGTTTTGCTGTTGATTTATACGAGGAGCAACTTGGCAGTGTGCGCCGTGTTACGCGGGCCTTGTAGCGCCTTCATTGTTTGTCCCCCAGGTTATAGCTATCATTGTAGTCTGATTATTGAAGCCTGCCTATGAAACCACCCCACCATATATATGTGCCACAACCTAATTGCATCGTTGTTGGAGGCACTACGCATACACCCTGCTTCAGGTAGGAGCAGCCCATTAGCTTCTGCTTTCAACAGTTATCTCTGCAACACCCATGAACATCAGAGTGATTGAAAATGCAGTGTTGTCAAAGGCATGAAAAATAGTGGAAACAAGTGGAAAAATCAAAATGAAAGGGGGATATAGGGATGGCTTGAAGCACCAAAAAGGAAGGAACAATGGGTCATTACACAGCAAAGATGCACAAAGCTACATGACACCATCCCTATATCTTGTGTTATATGTAGTTCGCGAGTAAAGTTTAATATGAGACAAAGATATAGGGATGGTGTCATGTAGCTTTGTGCATCTTTGCTGTGTAATGACCCCTTGTTTCTTCCTTATTGGTGCTTCAAGCCATCCCTATATCCCCCCTTCATTTTGAAGAAAAGATTTTTCCACTTGTGGAATTACAAGCCGCACGTCTAGAAATCCCGGGGTTTTGGCTTATTAAGGCGAGGCAACAAATTTCTTCTTTGTTAGCAAGTTAACAATTGGGTGAGATATTATCCTGGAGCCCACAGTGATTCTCTGTTACAGGTGTAGCTAGATTTGTTGGATGGGAGAGAAAGTTGATTTTTTTTACTTACGGCTAATCAGACACGATCTCACTAAAGAGGTAGCTAGCACCCATTTTTCGTTTCACTATAAAGAGCGAACCCTCGTCGCACTGCGCATGCGCGGTAAGTACCGATGGGCTACGACAGTATTATGCTGTTACTCGTTATCTCCCGCTAGCTGACACGGGCTAGCTACACTAGTAGATTGCATTCGGGAATCTATGGAATCGACGTCTCCCAGCAGTATCTCCAAGGTACGCAGAGCAAGCGCCATCAGTTCCAGTAGGTTTACCCTCGGCGCGCATGCGCAGCGAGGGTTACGTTAGTTGTCCCGTAAGTGTGTCTGTCAGTTGTCTGTCTGTCTGTCCGTCTGTCTGTTACCACGTTTTTTGCCACCGCGCGCACGAAAAATCAGGTAAATAGCGATATGATCGGGTTCAGTGCTACACTGCTCAACGCCCATGTGTGTATACACTAAAACGCACGCGACTCCGAGGCGGCAGGCGGCGCACGCTGATTGGGACCACGTGGCCAACAGTCATTTTGTTTTCCCTCATTTCTCTGTGAGACTAGACTGAGAAGACGGTTGAGTTCAGTAGGTATGCATTGTAGCTCACTAGGTTAGACTTGGGAGGAAAGAATAATCTTATCTATGAACCTAAATACAGCACCAGTAAGTATATACAACAATTCTACCAGATCTGGTGGTACCATTGCCCCACCCATTACTTTATTGCCGAGCGCATTAGCGCGAGGCAACTACTCCGGGTTGTATTCTCGCACGTACGTAATTAGTCACGCTTAGGAATGTAAATTAGTCATCAAAAGGAAGTGTAACTTCCGTAATTCTTAGAAAGTCTATATAGCTTCCGCCGTGCGCGCAGATTCGTAGGAAGTCCGGCTTCGTGCGCAGTCCGTATAGCGCGCGCACGAGCGGCCTCAGTCGGACTGTTTACGCATTGGCTGGCAGCTGGCAGGCGCGAGGCAAAATATTATGCGTGTGCGCATTCCTAGTATAATTGTGCGTGTGTGTTCACTATTATCACTGCGCCGAGGGTTTGCACTTCAGTGCCTTTCATTGTTTATTGGAGTAATAGCTATAAATATGCCAGTAGCTATAGTGGTGTATATACTGAGTGCAAACCCTCGGCGAACTGGCGCACACGCGGTATATACCGCAAATATATATACGGACTGGTCTAATAGCGATCGCTAGTAGCTCGCGGAGAGTCAGACACGGGGCTAGCTACAGTAGTAGTAGAGTGAGTCGATACACGCCCTTCATTGTGTCTTCGAGCAAGCGGACCCGGTCGAGCCGGAATCCTGTGCTGCTGGCTTGTTCACTTGGTTTTCACGCTAAAACCTTTAGAACGCAAAATCGGCACACACACACACACACACACGACCCCCTCGCTGTGCATGTGCACCGACGGTTAATGAGCGAACACCGGTGACACAGTATTTTATCCCCCGAATATTTTTTATCCGGGGGGATAGTACTATCCGTGAGGATAGTATACTCTTAGTGGGAATATCCGGGTGTGGAATATCCGGGTCCGGATATTTTATCTAGCTACACATACCCCCAAAGACAAGGATGCGCTCCTACGCGATTTCACAATCCCTGTGTCATCATCATATTCTTCATCTTCTTCTTCTTAAGCCAGACAACCATCATCTTCAGCACATCAGATATCAACAGCCGGGGCCAATAACACCATCTCACATGGAGGTGGAAGAGAGTCACTTAGGAGCTGATAATTCTTACATTCTATATACCGCGATGGCTGCTGCTTTACTCAGACATTGTCTAACATTAAATAGTGATTCAAACCCATTTTATTCTAACATCCTCTCATTTCACCCCTCCTCTCTCTTCACCCTTATCCTCAGCTCTGATCCTCGGCCCTCCTCTTCCTCTCTCTTGTTGTACGGGTCTCCTTCCTGTCCAAGCATTCTATATATACAGCACAGGGAAACAGATCCCACAAGCACTATGTACATGTAGGCACGTGGTTCAACGTGGTTCCCATGGCATAGGGGTGTATATGATTATAAAGTGCAAACCCTCGGGGAACTGCGCAAGCGCGGTGCCGCTAATTGATGGGCTAATTGATAGGCTGGGTAGTATACCGTTTACTCGCGGTCTCCCGGTCGCGGAGAGTCTGACACGAGCTAGCTACAGTCTTCCCAGGTATATAATACACTATTGATAACTGACTAGTGTAGGAAACGTCCCATTCGTAGTGGTACCACAAAAGCGCGCACGCAAAAACAAAAGCAGCTTCCGAACTCCTGTGTCCTCAAAGAGAAGCCATTCAATACCAGGTAGCTACTGGGGCAGTAGTTAAAAGAAGACAATTTTTCAAGACAGTTATTCGTTGCGATTGTCAGTGCTCAGATGGATGGGTAATGAGGAGTTAATGAATCACAATAATCACTGGAACTTCAGGTAGGCTTATAATAATATACACTGCACTTTGAAGCTCTTAAATTAGTTGCCTGAGAATGAGTGGCACATTGCTAGATGACACAAGTACTAATCTCTTCTAAGTTACCACTTCTTTTATTATGATTCTCTCAAACTTTATGGTGGTAGATTAGTTTTGTACAAGGACTGCTTTAAATGCTCTTAAAACAAGAGCTGTCCTGGATGTAGTTGATTTGTTCGTTGTGCCTTTGCCTTTCTACGTTTTTTACATGCAGTGTATCCCCCTTCAAATTACCATTGCTGGCAGCTATTATAATAATACCAACATTTCTAGCAGTTTCTAGGAATTAACAAGGAAGTCCCACTCTAGCTATAATAAAGGAATGTAGTACACAATATAATGCATTTCTTGGCAGCTGCACATGGTCCCTCGAGACTGCCCTTGGCTCATGTTTCTGTGCCTGCCATGTTTTCTTCTTTGGGTTGTTAATGCAACAGCCAGGGAAATTAAAACTAGTTGGTCACCTTTTACTACTTAGAAACAACAAACTATAATGTTCAATTTTACTGCAATAATAGAGTATGTTTTTGTGGCATGTCAAGAAACCACCTAGTTCTTAATAGCCCCGAAGAACCACATGGGAAGTGATAACCGCCAAAATAAGCGACTGGATAGGAAGAGGATATTTTCATCAAGACGTGGTGGTGTGTGACGTGAGAGGTGTACTGTGACGGAGGGGTGGTGCGCCTTCGTGAGGGGTGTGGTGTTTTTTGTACGGAGAGTGACGTGGTAAGGTAGTTTGCGTTTTTCAAGGTGGTGTGCGAGGTACTTTTTGCTGAGAGGTAGTGCGAGGACCTACGTGCATGTGTATACACACGCAGTGTGCCCGAACACTGTGCATGAAGCAAACAACATGAGGCAGCTATCTACCTGCGGCACGCAGCGACGCTGTGTAGCTCGCCTTGTGAAGCATTGGCCATGCCTGGACCTGCTCAAAGTGCTCAAGTATTAGTAGAGCAGCTGGACGACGTCGCGTATGACAGGTATTTGCTTATCTGTTTGCACATGCGCAGTGCACGTAGGTACCCGCACTACCTCTCCACAAAAAGCACCACCTTTCAAGAAAGCTCACTACCTCTCAAACCAAATCACTGTGTACATAATAATATGACTGCATATGGGACACCCACACGGCACTCTTTTATGTTGTGATCTGTAGAACAGATGTCCCTGTGTAAGCTTTCACAGAGCTCCATTAGACACCACTATAAGCTGACCTTCCATGCTCCTTTGTGAATTAATTCCTAATTTCCTACAATACATGTGCTAACATTATTAGTAAGCCTTCAGATGTGCAATCTCCGTCCTATGCATTCAGGGCCCTATCAGGCTAATATGTCAGTGCAGCATTCCTAATTCTTCAGCAATGGAGATGGGTATATCCTGTCTACAGTGCATGGTTTTATTAACCCTCGGCACGCATGCGCAGCGAGGGTTACGGTAGTTGTCCTGTAAGTGTGTCTGTCCGTCTGTCTGTTACCACGTTTTCTGCCACCGCGCGCACGAAATCAGGTAAATAGCGATATGATCGGGTTCAGTGCTACACTGGGTTGATTTTAAAAAAGGCGATTTTCGTAAAACTACTGTGTTTTAAAGTTATGGCGTGAAAACCAAGTGAACAAGCCAATATGTAAATTAGCACAGGCTTACCTCGACCGCGTCCGTTCGTTCTGTGTGTCTTGAAGGCACAACAAGTCACAACGAAGGGCATGTATCGACTCCCGCATGCTATTTACTATACTTAGCTAGCCCGTGCCAGACTCTCCGCGAGCTACTAGCGGGATACCACGAGTAAAGGCATAAAAAGCCCAGCCCATCAATTAGTGGTACCGCACATGCGCAGTTCGCCGAGGGTTTGCACTTTAGTGCTTTTCATTGTTATACAAGAACTAACCTCTCAACCAATTCGTGTTTTCTCCTCACACGCTGTGGCCAATGCCCTCTGTAGCTATGAAAATTTATTAATGTGTCTAAACTTGTATTTTAAGTGACTATGAGACATGCTTTTGCAGCTACTCACAACATTTTCGTTTAGCAAGCATATGTGTGACTTGAGTGTTTATATCCGTACAGTTTAGCAAACATGACAAACTACGGCATGAAAGCACAAAATAGCGTGTCTATCCAAACCACCAAATGGCACCAAGGTTTTCAAAGAAAAGAGATTAACTATTTTTGCTTTTTTTACTGCAGTATCATGTCAAGAAATTCACTCAGAGTTACTATTACTAATGTCGATGTTCTTGTGCACGACTGCCATACCATTGGAGGACTTCTACCCATATGGTCCAGATGTTGGAGATTCTCAAGTAGACCTGCCAATTTATACACATGGGCTAATTTCTGTTGGAGATGTTAAAGTTTGGGTGAGCTGACTATTGAAGGGAGTTTACAGAACTTGAGAATGTTTGCCTTGTGATCTTGAAGACATTATTAATTTACATGGTCGTTGATCGTTAATCTTGTCTGCTATACACAAAGTGAGAGTTGCCCAATTAGTTGAGGCCCCAATAGCAATGGCTCAGTGTGTAAAGCACTACGTGTAGACTGCATTGTGTGGTGGGTTCAAATCTCACACAGGGCTGCTAATTCTTCAAGAGTTGTGTTTGGTTTTTTCTTTTCCCATGTGACACCTTCTAACCACTTTTAACACCCTCTATAGTGCATCTTCTGCAGAGTACCATGCCCGTCCAACCTCTTAGTGCTTATTATCCCTTTAGGCGCCATAAGTATATAGTTATCTCTTTGAACAAGCATAAAATTGTGTCCAGGTATTAGCGCCTAGTATTTAAACCGCCATACTTATTGATATATTATGGAGAATCTGGACATGTTTATACATGGCTGGTTAAGTGTTAATCTTTCAGGTGTGGTTGTACGGTGCTATAAACTATCGTGGACGTTCCATTGCAAATTACATGGAGGTGTTTTTTATTGGACTTGATAATGTTGGAGAAGCTGTCTGGTTTCGGAACAGCACCTCTCAAAACACAAAGGAGAGAGCATTGACTGACATACAACGTGTGTATCCCTCTGTGTCATACATTGACCAGATTTTGATTGTCACATGGGATCGTCTTCACCTTTTGTCCCAAAACTATCAGGTAGCTGGCTAATATTGCATTAAACTCAGTCTTGTTGGACTAATTATTTATTGTTGTGCTAATTATTTATTTGACACAGACCAACACATTCCAGGCTGTAATAGCAACTTCTGGAAATGAAACTTACATAATGTATCTCTACGCTGACGGTCTCATGCAATGAATAAGTGAATATGGCGGTATTACTGATGATGGTATGTTTACTGCAAGAGTTTTTTATGGTCAATCGCTAATCTCCGCCACCTTCGAGCTTCCCGGTTCTGAAACCTGCAGCATTATTCATATTACTTCAAGATCTAATGTCGGTATTCCAGGAATGTTTGTGTTTGATCTGGACGGAATACACCCAGTTTTTGGTAAAAAATTAGTGTCATTTTGTGTTAATCACGTTTAGTTTTTGTTCATAGTCTCAGGATGTGAAGAGGGCGATGTTCGTCTAGTTGACAACAACATGAACACCAATGCCAGTGGTAGAGTGGAGATGTGTCTGGGTAATGAGTGGAGGGTAGTGGGAGATGAGACCTGGGGAGTGGAGGAGGCTACTGTCGTCTGCAGACAGTTGGGACTACCAACTGATGGTTAAGTAGAGTAGCTATATAATGTGTATGAGGTACCTACAACCATTTACCTATAATGCTAGGCAGAGCTATTCGTATTTGGTGTTTGCTTACTATCACCCTACCAAACTTCCCATTTCCCAATGCTGCACGCATAAACTTTGTAATAATATTCATTCTCAAACACTTTCTCTGTATATTCATTCTTTGCAAGTTGCATTCTAGGCTAGAAAAACTAGGCAGGGTATGAACCTACAATGGCTGGTAATAGAAACAGGCTTCTTTGCACCCTACTTCTATCACTATTATCTTGCAATAAAAAAATCTGTGTCCGTAAGTGCCATTTCCCCCTGCTGACTGTTAAATATCAACAACATTACATAACCTTACCTTTATGTGTGTTTATGTAAACACCATGACTCGTAGCACTTTACTACTACATTTCAATTCACAGTGGTAGTGGTAGGATGGAATCTAAGGAGTGCAGGTGTTCCAACAAGCTGCACTGGCAATGAGTCTTCACTGATGATTGCAGTAGTGAGCCTGGTAAACGGGGTAATAGTGATGAGCCACTCAGGTGCAGTGGAGGGGCCACAACATCCACCTGCCTGGCTACTGGTGATTTCACATTTCACATTTCTTTTAGGCAGTAAAATTGGTCTACTTCTGTTTGTCTTAGACGGCTGTGAGGATTTCCTAGGACAAGACTCTTCAACATTGCCAGCTGTTTGCTTTAACAGGTAATTGGCTGCCACTAAAGATAGGAGTGAACTAACCTGGAGGTCCATAGCTACCGCTGCGCGAATGTTTTCATGCCATGCATGCAGTTTGATAATGAGCTTTGATATTCCCAATAATATTCTGCAGTTCTAACCTTGCTCTCACTCACCAATAATGCTCCTGGATTTGCCTATATACATTTTACTTAATGTTTTTTAAAAAATAATTATGTCATATCAGATATGGAAGTTGTGTTCCATTCTCACCCTATCTGTTGGGAAGTGGTGGTATTCCTTGTGATAGTGTCTATGAGAGTGGAACTGACTATGTGTACCTCAAGAATAGTAGCGAGTCCTTCCAACCACTCAATGTACTTGGGGGATTGAACAACAGCTAGATGACGTATTCCCCAATCACGACTGTACACTCTCAACTGTAAGAATGATATGTCACTACTACCTGCCTCCCTGTGGAAACTACACTCATTTTCAGCCACCGACCTCAGTCTGCTCTGATGCCTGTTATCTACAAAGTCAGATTTGCCCCTTTCACTGGACATTTGTTGATCAAGACTGGGCAAATAGAGAGTAATCCTCTGAACTGCTCATTTTCTGAATCAATTTTGAATCCTATCCCTCATACATCTTGTTCTCATCTCGGAGTGTATACAAGTAAGTATACTATACTAAACCTACGCTGGCTTCATTCCAACATTGTCATCTTATTCTAGTCAGATTGTGACAATTAAAGTAAAGACAGAAAACTGTATAGTGGCTAACCATAATATGCCAGTATATAGGTAGCTAAAATGTCTTGGGCATCTTGAAAGCTTCAGTTATAAAATGCTTGCCTTCAATCTTTAAGGGTAAGGTGGACAAAAGCGATAAGTAATATTAAGTGACACAAATTGCTATAACCCCATATCTGCGTCAACATCCCAATTTTTATCTAAATGGGATTCCATCACTACATGCCAGAGCATGCATGTTTCTTGATAATAAAACGAGAGATTTCACCTTTCATCAGATGTGACTATTGGTCTAAGTCAGACAGTGTACTCAGTGGTGGAAGAAGAGGGCGTGGCTGTTGTGTGTACATCTGTTCTCTCTGGAACTACTTCTGGGAGAATGTTCAGTATCAGCTACCAAACTACTAATGGTGATGCTAGAGGTATTAATCGTAATATTATATTTCTTGTTCTGAACATACTGTTTCCCACTATCTAGCACCTGCTGACTACATAGCAATGAACGGAAGCTTTGACATAACCGACTCTAATAGTGAACAGTGTGTCAACATCTCTGTTGTATCAGACAACACAATTGAAGATGATGAGTGTTTCAATTACACTATTGTAACATCCTCTAATAGTATCGGCCTTACACTCATCCCCAATACTGCTACAATCTGCATCAGTGAACCTCAAGAAGGTAAATACAACAAATTGGTCTTAGACTGAAGAGACTATTGCCCATCCTAATGCTCATTAACCCTCGGCGCGCATGCGCAGCGAGGGTTACAGTAGTCGTTCTGTCTGTCTGTCTGTCTGTCTGTCCGCGCGAGTTCCAGCACTACAGGCTACGAGGCGGGCAATGAATGGCACCAACGGGTTGTGAACAACGAGGAGATGGATATTAACGTGGCGATTTTCCTAAAACGACTGCGTTCCAGAGATATGGCGTGAAAACAGGCAAAAAAGCGTACGCGAGCGATCCATCGCACACGCGCGTATGTGGGAGTTTGCCGTAGCTATTATTATCGTTTGTCGGAGCATGCGCATCTGCGAGTTGACCTTGGACGAGCAAGCGGTTCTTGAGTTTCTCTCCTTGGCCATTGTTAATCTCTGTTCTCGATGGACAACAAACTGAGAAAGTGTCCGCAATGTAGCACAGCAGTTGTGACGAGCAGTTTGTGGATGCGGCCATGCCTTCCCATCTAAGCGTAAAGCGCAGTCTAGCACTATATCCCAAGCTTACAAAACAACAAACGTGCGCATTTTGAGCCGAGGGTTTGCACTTTAGTGCTTTTCATTCTCAGCTGCACTGCTGCAGCACGGCATGAGTAGTGTAACTGCTTTCAGATACCACTTGTAATTGGTGCATACTTATTACGCTGTTATGGGCGTTAAAATGCTCTTCATAAGATAAGATTGATGTTGGCGAACTGCGCATGTGCGGTACCACTAATTGATGGGCTGGGCTTTTTGCCTTTACTCGTGGTATCCCGCTAGTAGCTCGCGGAGAGTCTGGCACGGGCTAGTAACAGTAGTAAATAGCACGCAGGAGTCGATACATGCCCTTCGTTGTGACTTGTTGTGCCTTCAAGACACACAGAGCGAACGGAGGTAAGCCTGTGCTAATTTGCAATTGGCTTGTTCACTTGGTTTTCACGCCATAACTTTAGAACACAGTAGTTTTACGAAAATCGCCTTTTTTAAAATCAACCCAGTGTAACACTGAACCCGATCATATCGCTATTTACCTGATTTCGTGCGCGCGGTGGCAGAAAACGTGGTAACAGACACAGACTGACAGACACGCCTAACCCTCGCTGCGCATGCGCCCCGAGGGTTAATCATGCAACTAGCATGATAATAGCTACAAATATCTACCTTTGCTTTCACCCCTGCAGCAACTCCTTCTGAATCCACTACACAAACTGCTCTTACTGTTCTGGCTGTGCTAGTGGCAGTAGTTCTACTTTGTATGGCTATAATGGCTGTTGTAATTTGTCGGAAAAGACCTAAGTTATCAAGGTGAGTTTAGCTTTTCATTTCATTTCTTACTATTCATGACTCATGCAGACGCCAGGATTTCACTTCTCCACATGAGAGACATTACTATCTTCCCAGTGAGTATGTCTGTATAGTAAAGTGTGGAGTTTGAACATTTCATTGATGATGGCATGAAGCACAAATAACGAAAGCAACTAGGTGTGGTCACAAGGAATAGGCACACAAAACTGCATGACATTGTCTCTACTTTGTCTTGCCATAATCATAAAAGGGATGGTTTCAAGAAGATTTGTGCACTTACGCTGTGTAACAACCTTTTGCCTTTTTGGTGCGTCCCTATAAGATCCTGCATAATAGGTAGTTTCCATTTTCATGCTACCCCGTAGTCACTTGTTAAACACACACACACGTGCCTCCATCTTGCTAGGTGAAGATAGACAAACTGACATTTTGCACCACCTCCGAGGGCAACTGGAAAACAAGAAAATGATATACTCCAAGGATCAAATCCGGCTGTCTACTACAATAGGACAAGGTAACAATTCTGTATGTTTGCACTTAATAAGGTTTTGGAGTCGTTTCAGGAGAGTTTGGGCTCATGTACAAGGGATACATCAAAACCACAGTTGGAAATGAAATAGTTGCAATAAAAACGGGAAAATGTATGAACAATAATGGCCAATGACCAACATATGGAGTGTGTATTGATGGAGAGATGCTCCTGCTTATCATGCCATTTATGTCCAATGGAAGTGTGTTGGAGAATGTTAGGAAACACAAAGACAGACTCTTTATCACTGGCGAGCTCCTAAGAGTGGAGGTTAGATGTATTATCCATGTGGATAAACATATCACTTTCGTCTACATTGCAGTTACAACCAGCATCTGCTGCACTTCTTAATATCTGTCTCCACATTGCAAAAGGGATGGAGTACCTTTCTGGACACAAGTTTGTTCATCGCGACCTGGCAACAAGGAACTGCATGTACGATGTTTTTTTTTGCTTTTAGCTAGCTATGGAAAGTTTAAACCTTTATCATCAACATTGACACAGGATTGATGGGGAAGGAGTAATCAAAGTGGCTAATTTTGGACTCGCAGAGGACATGTATTGCACTAACTACTTCCGTGGAAGGAAGAGTGAGACTGGACATGAGGAGAAGGTCCCTGTACGGTGGATGGCCCCCGAGAGTATTGAAGACTCTGTCTATACACAGGCTACTGATGTAGTGAGTTATGAAACCTTGAGTGATGGCGTTCAAGGAGTGCATACGAATAATGCACTGTAACTTTAAATGAGACAAGACGATTTCAAATTTTTGCATGCATTCGTTTGAAAAAAATCAACGTGGTGCTTCCAGTCGTAATGTTTCATTAGTGACAGTAGGCTACAAACTGGTGGTCGCTATGAATTTAAACATGTCAAGTGCTAATAAGGGTGCAACTGAAAAATGGTTGCAAACTTTATACACTGACAATGACAAAAAAATCTTGATTATAATTTTTTGTTCAATGACACCTGTCTTTATTCAGTGGTCATATGGAGTGACAATGTGGGAGATTTTCACTTGTGGGAGGGTCCCATACGCTGGAATACATGCCATGGGTCTCTTGAAGGAGCTAAAGAGAGGAGGGAGACTGGAAAAACCGGACAACAAGGCCTGCCATGATGACATGTTAGTTTTGAATGATACAGCAGTCCTGGTTACTGTACATTGCTGATATTAACATTTTGCTTTTCTAGCATCATCAAATATCCTTTGCCTACCTTAGATATGACGTGATGTTCTAATGCTGGAAACTGGAAGCTGGTGAACGTCCAAAGTTCTCTGATTTGGTTGTCACAGTGAATGACCTCCTGGAACAATATGGTGGCTACCTGGAGCTCTCTCGGTTCCCAACCCTTACAGTGGCTACTGCAACATCCCCACCTCCATCTCCTGCTGATCATCCTCAGATTGAGCTGGCAGAGTTGGCAGTTTCCAGTTTCTGAACAAGACATGAAAAATGACTTACGAGTGTAAAGTAATTCTTGCACTGACTGTCGGTTTGATAGACTCTCAGTTGACTTACAGTTTAGCTAATTATTACCCCACGCATTTATGCACAGTGAGCATGATGTGATCTGTGTCAGTGTCAATAATAATGAGATTTATGGTGTAGCTATATAACTAAATGCCAATGGAACCTCCTGACTTAACACTCTAACTCTTAATCTGGCAGTCAGGGTAGAGAAAGTAACAAAGGGACTGTGGCAGTATATAAATTTAGATATTTTACTGAAGATGGAACAAATTTAAATGAAAAGCACTAAAGTGCAAAACCCTCGGCGGCGTGGAACCACGAATGTGGTTTGGGCTATGTTTCAAATGCGTGGTTCCACGCCGCCGAGTACTGTTGTGTCACACTGCGGACAACTTCAGGCGTCTATCGCGCTCTCCATCGGTCAGCCACCTCTGCCTACAACAATTGGCTTGTTAACTTGCCATAACTTTTGAACGCCCTAGTTATACGAAAATCGTCTTTTTAATTAAAATGAACCCAGTGTAGCGATGAGCCGGTTGTCACGTTGC